ATCATATAGCACTGATTAAAAATTTCAAGATCTATTTCAATATGAATATCGAATAATCATTTTAACAAATTAACACATGCCACAGATAATTTAACTTATGTTATCTACGACGAATATTTCTTTACCAATAAATCAATTAAGTCAAATATTCACGATAAAACTAATATTAATGATAACATAAACATTTTATGCAGCACCTCGTTATTACTAAATAATTGATAATGTAAAATATGTAACAATTGGCAAGTAACAAAAATGAGTACATGACTTGCATTAAAAAATATGAGGCAAATTTCCTATTATTAAGTGATATACTCATTTTACCCTAATAAAAATAATTTTATTTCCGTGAAAATTCCTATGTCAAGAGGAAAGCAATTCTTCTGCACTCATTTTTTACTATATCCCACTACACAACTTGTATATTTATAATCTGTAGGTAACCACTTTCTATTAAAATCGTCTATTATTTTTGCGCATGAGTGTCAAAATATATTAAGAATATAAAAAAAGTACCTTGTAAAGGAATAGACTCCAGAGTTATGAAAACCATTCCAGTAACGGCAGCTATGATACCAACATATCGGTATAAAATGTAAAACGATATCCCTGCAGTAATTGGCATAATCCAAGCATAATGTATAAATTGGGCGGCCAAGTCAAATCTTTGGACATCATTAGATAAGAGGTTAACCAGTTGCCCGGATGCCGTTTGACCCAGAGAATTGTGGTTCAACTTCAAGAGCTGTAATTGAAATAAAAAATAAGAAAAAAAATGGACATAAGGTGATTCTTTAAATAAAAATATTTTTTTTTGTAGGACGTTCAAAATACCGGAGGGAGAAGTTTCGAAAATATTTCAAACATGCCTCTGTATTAAAGAAATAGAAATTATTTCGAAAGGAAAACCATTTTTTTATTTGAGTTGTAATTATGTCGCACACTACTTGTCTGTCAATGAATCCACATTGTTGACGCCAAGTATATTTTTGTATTAGATGTTTAGTTGTTTCAATGAAATCTTTAACCCTTTCGCTACGATATATAAATGAGAGTAGTATACTTGTGCGAAATTACATTGTAATCTAATATAACATTTTTTATTACAATTTTTTACAAATTTACAAAACGCACATGTGCCTCCTCCGCATAGTTTTAGAATTTTCAAAGAATATGCGGAGGGCGCACTTGGTCGCCTTGCATACAAAATTAGTGCTTTCTATTTTCTTATTATTATTAGTGTTAGAGTTTTTAATTTCATGTTTTTTTTGCATAACTCGTAATTCTTCAAAAAAAACCTTATTGGTTTCTACTACATTCGTACTGCAATTGTTTATGACCTTGACGGTAACCCGTAACCTCTATTTAAAGAACTGGATGTGCATTTGTAATGAGTTACCAACTGCAAACAGATATACTTTAATAAAATAATGCAATCTTTAAGAAAATCATAATGTATTCATAAAATACAAATTAAAACATTTATAAAACAGAAATATGGGAAGTTTTATTTGTGATACTCCATGAAACATTTACCCAGGCAGAAACCAAGTCTCTCTGTACCGGCTGCACCATTGTATGAAGTATCTTTTCGTTGTTTCTCGTGCATGCATTTTTTTCTGAGAACCCCGCTATGTTCATTTAGCAGGACAATCTTTACATCTTTCTTCTTCTTCTCCTTCCTCTTTCTAAGCAATTCTGCTTATTCATTGGCGGATTAATACCTCTATGTAAGGTTGTCACTCCATCCAGTCCTCTTCTGACTGACTTCCACTTTGTTGTTTTGGTAGATGTTTTCGATAGTTTTTATAATATTTAGGGGAACTTCTCTATTATAGAAAAGATGGATTACATATTTGAGTCATACTCTATAAATGCTTTCTTTAGGTCAATTAGACACAGAAATGCTGGTTTATTATACTCTAGTGATTTCTCAGTAATTTGCTTTATAACGAATATTGCAACTGTATACGATCTTCCACTACGAAAACCCTGTTGATCATCTGCTAAACTTATCCTCTGATTTATTCATCATCATTATTGGCTCCACAACCCATGGTGGGCTTGGCCTGCTCAAGAATAAGTCTCCATTCTCTCCTATTCTTCGCCTTGACTTTCCAGTTTCGTACTCCCAACATTCTCAAGCTTTCCTCCACCTGATCCTTAAATCGTGCTCTGGGTCTGCCTCTCCTTCTCACTCCATCTATTCTTTGATTATAAATATGTTTTGGTGGCCCCATCTCATTAATTCTCTCTATCCTCTGATTTATTATTACTTGTAAAATTTTAGTTGTAAGTTTTGGCGTATTATTTAACAAGTTTATACCTCTGTAGTTTTCTGACTGTTTTTTATCTCAACATCATCATTGGTGCTACAGCCCTATAAAAGAGCCTCGACCTTCCCAAGTCTATTACGCCAGTCAGTTCTATTCATTGCCAATTGTTGCCAGTTTGCTGCGCTATTGCT